TCGTTTTGCTTGCCTCAAGGTTCATAGTATTGTGCTGCCTGTTGTCTGAAACACTTGGAAAGCAGTATTTTTCCTTCATTTTATCTAGTTTTTTAGTTATGTTAGGAGAGTAAGCCTAGTCCCAGTTGCTCTGTCATGGACAGAAACAGAAGTCCCATTAGAAAAATGATTATTCCACTGAAATGCATGAGCATTAGTTCTGGTACTTTGCAGCCCTTATAATTTGTAAAAAGTCCATGGAATGATGAAGGAAGAGGAAAAAAAATTCAGCATTCGCATAGCGAAATAGCAAGTAGAGTAACAATACTAAATATATAGGATTATCTTATGTATAGGATATATTATGTGTGTTCTTGTGTGTGGATAATTACATAATTTAATCTCAAAAATCATAGGTAGGTGCTATTATTATCTCCATATACAGAGTTATAAATTGAGGTACAGAAAAATGAAGTAACACAAGAGCACACAGCTAGTAAATGATGGCTCTATGGTTTGAACCAGGTAGTGTTGACCAAATAAAAATTGCTGCCTAAGGAAACTGGGTAGGTCTCGCATTCCATCTGAGCAGTGATGGTTGTATTTAGAAGTATGGTATTGCTCAAGACTCAGTTATATGATCTCTTTTTTTTTCTCCTTTTAAAATTCTTCTTGCTCCAAACTTCATCACTGGAAGAATTTTTTTAAACCTAGGGCTTTATATACATCATCATTATCATGTGAATTACCCCCATCTCCTTATAGCTCTACCTGTTTACCGATACTCTGTATCTATATCTACATCAATATATATCCTTAACTGTAGGTCATAACTCTACCTACTTACTTCACATCTCTGTGCCTCTCAGTACCTTAGACCCTACAAGTCTTAAACAGAATTCAATATCCAACTTTTTTTCTGTGACCTACACTTCCGTTAGCGGAGTTTCTCTTTTTCTAACTGACAGTGAAACGTTTGGGGATTACCTTTAAATCCTTCTTGGTTCCTTTCATGAAACAGGCTCTTAGAACCTGTTTTACTTGTGAAATGTCTCTCAGAAAGGTCCTTTTTCTGTTTCTGCTGCCCTAATTCAGGACCTCCTCATTCCTTATTGCTCTGTTGCAACAGAAACTTATTTGGCCTTCTTGTCTTTATTGTTTTCCTATTCTTTCTATCCTTTACAGTACTTGCAGAATTATCAGCATAAAACTCAGATTTGCCAATACCTTAATTAAAATCTTGTAGTGGCTCATCATTGTATTCTAAGTCAGAAGTTAAAAACAAGGCTTTGGATCTGACTGACTTCAGTTTCCTTTCTTCTTCTTTCTAGCCATGATACGTTGGGAATTTACTTAATTCTTTAGCCTTAGCTTCCTCTCCTATAAAATGGGGATAATAATAGTTCCTCTTCATAAGAATGTTAGGAAGATGTTATTTCAATGAAATAAAAAAATGCTAAAATACTTCAATGCTTGGCATGTACATAATAAATGAAAGCTCTTATTGTATTGTTAAGAGAATAGCGTTCACAGCCTTCCTAAGGTCATTATAACTTGCCTTGCATTATAGATTACAGATCTATTAGATGCTTGCTAATGTAGCTCATACTTTCATACCTCCATGTTTTGGTTCATGCTGTGTTCCCTGCTTGTTGAAAGAATACTGTGCCACCTCTCCTGTGAAACCTTTCTCAGATACCACAGTTAGACCTAATTACTCTTTAGGGCTTACTTAGTCTTAATGAGAGAATATGCCACCAGTTATTCCCGTTCTTCTAGCACTTAGCTTGGCTAACAGTTGGGCTCTTAAGAGTCAGACAAATGGCAAGATCAGTCAGTGTTAGCTGCTATTGTTATTATTTTTATTAGTTGTGTACTTGTCTTCTCTTTTGACCTCTGCCAGGCTACTGCCTCCTCAAGGGCAAAATCATCTGATTCATTTTTGTTTTTTCTCAGAGTGTCTACAACAGTCCTTTGTACATAATGAGTATTCAGTAAATGTGTTGAATTTACAGGGTGGAACTTCAGCCTGTCTGGAGTCGCCTGATAGTGGAAGGAAGTGAGATGGGTAAGGTGATCTGCTTTGAATGTTGTGGAGTGATCTGTAGCAGTTTTCTGTTAGGGGAATGGGAGCATGGTCCTGCATCACCCGGGCTGTGTGGCAGAATTCTTCCTGCAACAAGTTATTTTAATTTCTTTTCTAGCAAAGTGAGGCCTTGATATTCTCAGATTATCCAACTGTGTGAAATATCACTAATGAGGCAACATTTTTTTGGTGTTAAATGCACTTCTACCCATTGTCTCTTTATTTTCTTAACATCTCCTTAGATACTTGAACATAATTTAGATCTCTGTAGGAAAAGTAATGTATTTTTCAAATAATTTTCATGTTGAGTTAAATATTCTCCTAAAACACAATAAATATAAATCAGTATGAGCGTAGCCTTTTCAGGCATTTACCCTTTGATCAGTGTCAGATACATCACTCCTTAGGAAATCTTGAAGAAATTTACAATGGAAAAAGATGTGTTTTCTTCATTTTTTCTTTCTTGCTTTTGTTCAGATTTGAATAGGCAAGCAGTTATTGAGTAAAGTACTATTTTAATAGACTGTTTTACAGTATTTGCATTTAGAGAAGTGACCTGCAAAGTGCTATGTTAAAAAATGAAGGAGATGTAAAAATACCTACATACCTGGCAAAACATGTAATTACTGTTTGATGTTGGATCTTTGAAACAATAATGTTAAATTTTAACATTCTGAACTATGCTGGCTTAGTAGCTCTATATAAGTATTCCTAATAGAAAAAAATATATTGATACAATAGTAATTCTGTACATATTTCAGGTGTAAATACAGATTCAATTTGGATTAAGCAAAAGAAAGAAGAAAAAATAACGTGGTTTAAGATGGTGTGGGTGTTTAAAGGCTTTTAGGTAATAGTCCTCTGTCGAGTAATACATAATAAACGAAAGCCAAAACACTCACCAGACAGCAGGGAAAGTAGTGCTGTACAGATTACAAATAAGTGACCCAAAGGAAATATACCTAAAAAATCATTTTAAAGCCTTACATCACTTTGAAATTTTAGATTGATTTTTTCTACAGAAACATATTTTCTCCTTTCTTGATACAGTTTACTGTTCTCAGATTCCCTATTCCCACCCCCAGTTTAAATAACTTTATATTAAGTCCAAGAACATCTGAGCCTAAGAGATTGCTCTTCAGTCTACAGACCATGTGTGGTATGCATATGGATTCACAGATGCATTCAGAAAAACCACCCCAACAGATTAGGAACTACTGGGTCTCTTAATTTGTGTATGAGAAACTGAAGCCTTGAGTGGTTTAAATCAGCAGTCACAAATTAGGACTTGCAGACAGATGGAATTTAGCCCTATAGCCATGTTTTGTTTGGCCTATTAGGATGCTTTAGAATTTTTGAGCAAACAGTTAAAAATCAGGAAATTTTTAGCTTCTCATGAAAATTTAGAGGATCTGATACTGCTGAACTGATATTTCTAAATCACATCAGTTGAGTTACTTAGCAGTTGCCCCTTTTAACATTCATGTATCGTTAGGTTTACAATCTTCACAATTCCCTTTTAAGTCTGTATCTGTTTCACTTATTTATGTTACTTGCCTTCCTTTTCTGAAAATTTTTGCTGTATAGCAAGTCAGAAGCTATTTAAAATGTAAAAACGTCTTTCTTATGTCCTAAAGCAATTGTAGGTTCCTAGCCCCATCTCTCAGGCAGTGGTTTTATAAGCAGGAGCCCTGGATTATAGCTCTTCTGCTGCCATTGACTGGCTCTGTGGCATTGCATGGGTTACTTAGGTCCACTGAATTTCAGTGTTGTTTTCTGTCTAATGGTCATAATAAGCATTTAAATCATGCACAGAGCTTTCAGAAAAACAACTCCATAAAATCATAGTTAATATTTTGTTATATATTAGATTGCTTAACAATGCAGTTTCAACTGTGCCCTTTTCCGACTGTTCATATCATCAATGCTCTGCATCCTACAGGATGAAGTCCAAATTTCTTGGCTTTATCTGTTATTCTGTTTTTGCATTGTTATAAATGACTGTTTATTGCTATAAATTACCTGAGACTGGGTAATTTACAAAGAAAAGAGGTTTAATTGGCTTTTGGTTCTGCAGGCTATACAGGAAGCATGGCACCAGCATCTGCTTCTGTTGAGGGCCTCAGGAAGTTTATAATCATGGCCCAAGGCAAAGACGGAGCTGGTTCATCACGTGACAAGAGCAGGAACAGCCCTCGTGCTACACTGTTTTAAACAATCAGATCTCAAGTGAACTCTTGAGTGAGGACAGCACCAACCCATTCATGAGGGATCCAGCCCCATGACCCAAACCTCCCACCAGGCCCCACCTCCAACATTGGGAATTATATTTCAACATGAGATTTGGAGGGGATAAACATTCAAACTATATTGCCTTATAGTCAGTGTTCCCAGCCATTTGGTTCCAACAAAGTATCTTTGGTTCTTGCCAAAGTATCTTTACTTTATATGGAATGGAATTTATTCAGTATTCATTCTCCATCCTCCCACCCACTACCCCATTCATTCTTTTGCCTTATATATATTGAGTACCTCTTCTGTTCCAGGTACTGTTCTAGGCACTAGGGATTACAAAGTTGAACAAGACAAAGTCCCTGCCTCTAACATTCCCATACTTATATTTTAGATAGCGAGTCAGTATTTTGTATTTTGAATACATCTTACATATGTCTGCCTCCTTTGCTTACACTGTTCTCTTCATTATCTTTTTTCTATTTATTTTATTGTTTTATTCAATAAGGATTGATTGATTGATTGCCTGCCTGCTATGTGCCAGACACTGTTCACTGGGTGTTGGTATTATGACAGAGTCAAGTCTCTGCTCCCTTGGAATTTATGTTCTTGTGAGGTGAATGAACATTTTAGAAATACGTGTGTGTGTGTGTGTGTGTGTGTGTGTGTGTGTGTGTGTGTGTGT